CCAGACTGATGTCATTGCCCTTCAATACTCTGGAGAGGTCCCTGACAACTGATTTTCCCAGTGCAACTCGTCTCTTAATTTCCTGGCTGCTGGTACCAAGAGTACTGATTGTGGAGCCAAGCAAGCTAAAGCTGTTAACAATCTCAATCTCTTCACCACCAGTCATAATGCTGTCAATTGACCTAGTCGTGAGAATCTTTGTTTTCTTGATGTTGAGCTTCAATCCATATTGAAGGCTGCTGTCCTTGATCTACAGCAAATGCTTCAGGTCTTCTTGTTTCAGCAAGTAGGGTTGCGTCATCTGTATAACACAAACTGTTGATGAATCTTCCTCCAATCCTGATTCCACTTTCCTCTTCATATAGCCCAATCTCAAGGATGATCTGTTTCAGTATCAAGATTGAAAAGATATGGAGATAGGACACATCCCTGTCATACACCCTTCCCAATTTTGAATCATGTAGTGTCTCCTTGCTCTGTTCTGACGACTGCCTCCTGGTCCAAGTGTAGGTTTTGCATAAGCACTATCAAATATTCTGGGATTCCCATTCAGCCACAGTTTGTTGTGATCCACACAGTGAAACATCTTGTCTCTGCATAGTCAATGAAATGCAGATAGACATTCCTCTGGTACTCTCTGCTTTCAGCCAAGATCCGTCTAACATTAGCTATAATATCCCTAATTCCACGGCCTCTTCTAAACCCAGCCTGCACATCTGGCAGTTCTGCTCTCAACTATTTTTGGATAATTTTCAGCAAAATCTTGCTTCCATGTGATAGTGGTGATTTAATTCAATAATTTCCACGCTCTGTCAGGTCACTTTTCTTTGGAATGGGAACAAATATAGCCCTCTTCCCATCAGTTGGCCAGGTGGTTGTTCTCCAGGTTTCTTGGCACAACTTATTGAGAGAACAGAATCTGTTTGTGGAAATATATCAATTGGTATGCCATCAATTCCTAGAGCCTTATTTTTTGCCAATTCTTTCAGAGCAGCTTGAATGGCTTCCTTTATCACCACAGGTTCTTGCTCATATGTTGTTTCATTAAATTCTTCTGTGTCAGTCAATTCCTTCTGGTACAGTGACACTGTATACTCCTTCCATCCTTTTTAACACTACAAAGCTTAAAATCAGGAAAGGTGTGCATCAGGGCTGTATCCTTTCTATATATATATATTGAATCTATATTCTGAGCAAATTAGTCAAGAAACTGGACTCTAAGAAGAAAAATGTGGCATGATGATTGGAGCAAGACTCATCAATACTATTTGTGATACAGACAACACAACCTTGCATATTCAAAGTGAGGAGAACTTGAAGCACTTGCTGCAGAGAGTTTAACAACACAGCTTTTAAAATGGGTTACATCTCAACATGAAGAAAACAAAAATACTTACCACTAAAACAAACAAACAAACAAACACCAAAAAACAACAAAACGTTACTATAACTAGCTATTTTGCTTCAAAAAATTTCCCTGACTCTATTAAAACATCATTCTCCAAGTCTCCTGGAATAAATATATGGTTGATGATGTTGTTATATATGGTTATTTTTATATGTTTATTGTTATTGTGAGTGTCAAGTCAGAACTGACCCTCTAGGGGGTTTTCAGAGGCAGTAAATTGCATAGGAGACTGCCCTTCCTTATCCTTTGGAGCAGTTGTTGGATCCAAACCACTTTCCTTTGGGATTGTGGTTTCTTACCAGATTCTTCCCAGTACAGATGACCAGCACAGATACTTACCAGTAGGCCCCAATCAGTGTCTTCACTTCCCCCCCCCCCAAATAGTTCTATGGATTCATCCTTCAGAAATCTCTTGTGTCTGTGGTAAATTCATATTGTTTCTATGTACTCGGCATCCATCTCTTCAATGAACTACTTCTCTTTTACTTAAGGTGGGGCTGTCAAGGATAATATTCTAGCGTATTCTATCCCAACATTGTCAATTCATGTTATCTCGTGCCTAGTGTAAATAATAGTATTCAAAAGGGTAGGGTGTGTTGTAAGTTCTGCCAGAGTTCCTTTCTTAGAAGTCATTATTAGCTATCATTATAAATTATCTGCCACAGATTTACAATCTAGGAATGTATAAATTTGCAGCTGCCAGCAGACTCCTGAGTTATATAGAGGATGCCAAATTAGAATAACTCAGCAAAAAATAAAGCATCAGAGGTAATACGAAAAAAAAAAAAAACAAGGAAAAAAGAGTTTTGATGATATTGCTTGAGTTCTTGAAGCCATCCATGCTTCAGTTCAGGTCATGCTTCACATAACATCCATGCTAAAGTCCATCCCCTCTCTGGGCTTTCCCATCAGATGAGTTAAATTTTAAATCTCAGCTGCATCTCTAACTAGATGAATTGCACGAGATAGTTAACTTTCTCTATCTCAAAGGAGATATTAGGACCTACCTCACAGTATATAATGATTAACATAACAATGTTAGCATGGTTATTAAGGACAGTGAATTCTTTTATTAGGTAAGTTAGAATTGGAGCCCTGACACTTACGACAGAGTCTTGATGCTATAGTTTCAATATCCTTAGAAGTGTGGTTGATTCATCTCATCCTCTGCCTTTCCATTACTTCCGTCTTCATGAAGTCCCTGGGCAGTGTTTTGGCTGGCTTGATTGACCACATCTCTACTCGCCTACCATCCACTTTACTTACCAATCACAGAACAATCATCACTAAAGTATCCTGTTCCTAAAATGTGTGAAGAAATAATGGTTGAAAACATCTCACACTGGATAAGACATGAATCAGTACATCCAAGCAGCTCGACTAGCTCCAAAGCAGATCCACTCAGGAAAATCTTTACAATAAGGCTTCTTCTAATCCAACTCTGGAAAATCAGTTTCTTGAAAGGATCAAAGGGGTAGCAAGTCTCCACACTGAAAGTATCCTCAATAAGATTATACATGATTTCTCCTCAGAAACCAGGGAAAGAAAAGCACAGGACAAGAGATTTAAAACGCTGGAAGAAAAGAACTGGAAGCCAAGAAGTGTGTGTCTGGAATTTTTTTTTTTTTTTTAGTGAGGGTGAAATGAACACACTGCAGATAAACAAAAGTTAAGGGAGATTTTTACCATCGGATTTGCCTTATATGCTAAATAAAGTTCTTCAGTGTGAAACAAAAAAGGACACTGGATAGTAACTCAAAAAGTTAATATGTAGAAAACAGGTGGCCACTAAAATAATTCTCTGAGAAAATACAGAAGTCAGTGATACGGTTTTGGGGTGTGGGTGTGTGTTTTACATTTTTGAATGCTGATTTATTGTGAAAAAATAGAAAGTTAGCAAACTTTTTTTTTTAATAACCCCCCACTGTCCATGAAAAAAGGAACCAGGTGCTGGTTTCCAAAGAAAATAATCTTCTCACAGTGATACTGTATGGCTAAGCCATTCCACTTCATTCATTGCTCTTTAATCCCACCATTGTCTTGTTCAGGTTCTAGAAGTTCATTTAGAGGTATTATAACATCGGCACAGGGCAGCTTGTCTTTTCACCAAGCATCATCAATCAAATCGAGGGTCCTTTCATTTCTTTGTACCTCACTGTCTATTCTCAGCTGGTTTGATCTTGTGAGAGCAGCATCTGACCCATGTACCACTCACTTCCAACAAGGCACACCCAGTGCTATGGTATTTCTGTGTAGCAACTCTTCTTGTTATGACCTTTATGCTTTAAAAGCTAAATGCGTGAAAATTAATTATAAATTTATGGTATGTGCACACATTGTATAAAGATGTCATTTGTGGCAACCACATAAAGCAAAGAAAGGGGGTAGTATAGGAACAGAGCTGGGATGGTATAGGAACAGTGCTAGGGTGGATACCAGATGACCCAGTAATTCCATAGGGTCTATACTCGAACAACTGAAAGCAGGGACTTAAACAAATGCTTCTACACCACTGTTCACTACAGCATCATTCACAATAGCCAAGTGATCCAATAACAGATGAATGGATAAATAAAATGTAGCATATATTATTCTGCCATAATGAAGTTCTGATACATGGATGAATCTTGAAAACATCCTAAGTGAAATAAGTCAGGTGCAGAAGGGTAAATAAATACTACAAGATCTCACCTGTAGAAAATATCAAGAATAGGAAAATGCACAGTGGGAAAAAGTCTATTAGTGGTTCTCTGAATTAGGAATGTGATGAAGGGGAACTTGTTTCTTAAAAGGGGTGCTGAGAGTCATTTTGAGGTGATGAAAACCTCTTTGTGACTAAGAGCGTGAACTGCAAAACCTGGTGAATGTAATTCAAGTCACTGAACTGGACACTTAAAAATGGCTCAGAGGCAAATTTTTGTGTTACATATATTTTGCCACAAGAAACAAAATGAAATGTTTAAATTACATTTTTTTTTGTTTTCTAACTCACAACAGGCATTAAAACAAACTATTTTGTAAGATCTAACTATAATCCTATCCACCTGGGCTTTTTCAATTCTGTAGTTCACAAGAATTTCTCTCCAAATTAAGACCTATCTTATTTTCACTATAGTTGTCCAACGTGATGCAAATGCTGATCTTAATATACACAAAAATACTTAATGACAAAATAAGGCAATTTTAAGATTGATACATGGCTTTATTTTGCACACATTATAAGACTGTGGTGGTGATTTTGTTTGTTCTTTGCTTTTACATTATGGCAAATATATATTATGTTGCGTATGAATGATTTATGAAGCAAACATTCTATGTTTCCACACACACACACACACACACACACACACAAGTCTTCTTGCCTACATATTCTAATCGGATTCCTGAGAAAAATAATGGAATTATTTACTTTACAATGAAATACATACATTTTCTTTCCAGATATAAAAAAGGGCAGACTTCTAAAAAGAGTCTCTGTTTGTTCATAAAATCCTATAAAAATACATTAATATGCTTACATGTTTTTCCTTTGACTTGATAATCCAGTTTATCAGAAACAAAAACAGCAATACACAAATACAGGCAAATCACATTAATCTTGCAGCAGTACAATATCAACATCATCATGAACGCCTTGCAAAAGTAGCTCTCCTTGGTATGAAACAATTTTCCTTCGTTTTGCAGCTTTCAGAGTTCCTACCAGTGCTTCAAAGAGGTTGGCACATTTATCATCTCGGAAGAGGACGCCAAATTTCACACTTAACTTTCCATCAGCATCTAAAAAGAAAATATAATGTTAGCAAACACAAAGTCTGTTTCTCGGCCCAGTGTACAGTAGAATCAGAAAATCTTTAATAAACAGCTGTCAGGGACCTCTCCAGAGTTACTGAAGAGCAATGGCATCAAGCTGGAGACTAAGGTGCACCTGATCTGGGATATAACTTCACAATTGCGTGCTATGCATCAGAGAGCTGGACAGTGACTAGGGAGGCTAGAAAGAGAATTGACGTCTTTGAGCTGTGGTGCTGAAGAGGAGCGTTGAATAGACTGCTAGAAGAACAAACATTTGTCCTGGAGAGGGTGAAGCCAGGCTGCTCCTTGGAGGCAAGGATTCTGAAGCTTCGTCAGACATACTTTGGGCATGTTGCAAGGAGAGACTGGTCCTTGGAGAGGGACATCATGTTTGGGAGAGTGGCAGGACAGCGCAGGAGAGGAAGATCCTCTATGAGGTGGATTGATTCAGTGACTGGGGTAATGAGAGTAGGTGTGTCGGAGACAGTGAGGTTGGCACAGGATAGAGTAGGGTTTAGGGCTCTTGTGTATAGGGTTGCTATAATTCCCAAGTGGCTTGACGGCACATAACAATAGTAATGCAGCTATAGGGGAAACCCTAAACAAATGAAGTGACACAGTGGCTGTAACGATGGGCTGGAGCATATCAGAGACAGTGAGGATGGAGCAGGAGAGGAGAAGGTTCAGATCTGTAATTCAGAGTCGCTATGAGTCGTAGTCACCTTGATGGTACCTAAAGAAAAACACCAAATGGGCTAATCAAGATTACAATTTACAGTCATCAATTCAATGTGGCCACTTCCCAGATCAAAAAGTGATGGAGCAAAATAATGTGTGATATGCCTTCTAGTTTTAGGATTATCTGGAAAGATGTTGGAAAGGGAATAAAAACCAGAAGGTTATAAAAGATTAATGTGTTACATTACAACTAAATCAAAATAGCAGCTGTTCAATCAATGCTGACTCAAGGCAATCCCACATACATATTCCATAGAATTTTCAGTGGTTGAACTTCAGAAATAGAGCACCAGGTCTCCCCCTGAGGCTCCTCTGAGCAAACTCCAACTGTCTACTTTCCATTTAGCAGGTGACAACGGTAACTGTTAGTATCCTCGGCAGCTATTGAATCAGAAACCCTGCACTTCTACATTAGCTAACTCAAACTTGCATTGCCGTCAAATATAATTTTAAACTAAAGGCACTTCCAGAGGCCACCGCTCAGCCAAATAACAGACTCACTCTAAAATAAACAGGAAACCCAAGCTGCATTTACGCCAACCTGTAAACTGAGGAGAAAACAAGCAACAAATCTGGGCAAAGAGTGACCAGAGGAGTTCTCCTGAAGTAAATCCACTAAACTGAGAATAAATTTATCAAGAAAAACAGGGATTCTGCCAATGCCTAGCTAGGAAGGCAAAGATGTACCTCTCTGGTTTTCTTACTTCTGGTCACAAAACCGTCTGCAAAGATAACCTTGCATGGATTACAGCCATAAATGAAGCTGCTGGGCAAAACTCATCAGTAACATGAGAGTTAAAATATCCACAAAATGAGGGTATAAAAATATGTCCATACTACAGATGATGATTACTGATTCAGATCCACTAGACAGCAGTGGTTTTGTAGGAAAGGTTCCTCAGAGAAGGCTCAACACTTAGTCAATTCTCAATCCCATTAAATTTCTAAAAGTCACCAAAGGCAGAAACCTATGAGTAATCCTGAATTCTATTCACTCTCCTTCGTTCTGATCCACTTCCATAATAGCTTGCCTCTGGAAATCCTATGAACATGGAGAAAAGACGAAAGTTATACAGAGGTCCAGGACTTCCATTCATAGGGTCGCTATGAGTTGCCTACGACTTGACAGCACTTAACAACAACGGCATAGAGAGCAGTTGGCCTAGTGGACAGAAAGTCATGCTCCCAAGCCAAAGGTGGATGACTCTACTCTGCAGCCCTCTGGCCTGTCTTTAATTGGTTTTGGTGAAACATTCTTCTAGGTCGTGTAACCCTGGTATGTCCACTTGCTGTACAGTGGTAACTTGTGGTCACTGTGACACTGATGAGTCAAATGCGAGAATGGTTACACACGGGGGACGGGCTTTGGTGGAGATGCCTGATTAAAACAAGCTTGGAAGCAGGAGTGGCATCAACTTCCATAATAGTTTGCCTCTGGAAACTCTATAAACCTGGAGAAAGGATGAAAGTTATACAGGGGTTCAGTACTTTCGTTGATAGGGTCGCTGTGAGTCGCCTACGACTCGACGGCACTTAACAACCCCAGAACCCTTTGCAGTTCTAGCCTCTCTTCTCCAGTGACAATTCCTGGGGTTGGGGCCTAATTGGATTTCTCACCTGGGTAACTGCCAAACTCTTCAGCAACCTTCCTTTTTGATACCTTCCATAAATGTGTCGGATGAGCTTTGTAAACCACAAGCCTGACTGACATTATTCTGCTTCTTTGCATGACTCCCTCTAAAAACGAAAACCCCAGAACTCACTCATTGCCATCGAGTCAAAACTGACTCATATCTGATGCTGTAGAAAATTTTCAGAAGCTGTAAATCACACAGGAGGAAACTGCCCGTCTTTCTTCCACAGAGATGCTGGTGGATTCAAACCACAGAGACCAGAGACACTGGCTCTGGGTTAAAAGTGCAGCTCCCCATGAACTATCCCAGAGCTCCCTTGCACCTTCAAAGGAAAGTCCTTGGCCTCATGAATCTCTTCATATTCTGGTTCTTACACGTGCCTTGCACCCTTTTCTGATTTCCTACCCTAATGCTCCATGTACCTTTAAGTCAATCATAAGGAACTGTTTACAGGTGTCAAAGTGAAATGACATATTCTATCTTGATAGTTTTGTCATGTTGAGCCGTGTGCCAAGCATCCTAGGCTCTTTTCCTCACCTAAATTATTTTTCTTCACAAATGGACTCAAATCAATATCTTCTCTGAGAAGACTTCCCTGATCCTCTGAGACAACAGCTCTTCTTCTAAAACGGAATAGCTAATCTATCAAAGTACTCATTAGTTATAATAATTAATAGCTAACACTTATTGAGTGTGCTGCTTTCTCAGAACTGTTCAATAATTCCACACTTGTTAAACTCACTTAATCTTCATTTTATTGACAAGACACAATTGATTGCAAGCAGTGCCATTACTCTATAGACCAATTAAGCTGCCAATTTATAGCACACCGTGTATTGTAAGACGCATCCTTATTGTAGAGAATTTAAAGTGGGAGGGTGAGGGGAAGAACCTTTAACTCATCAAAATAGACTGTTTTCTTTATAATAAATAAGGAAGGAAAAGCATAGGTAAGTTTAGGAATGTGTCCAAAGTTATACAGCAAGTGTACAGAGGAGCTGAGACTTTATCCTAGAGAATCTGACTTAAGAGTACAGGTTTTTAGCCATGTCCAATACTTGGTTCCCATTTATTTGCATTTTCTCCTTACTCTCCATCTCCTCAAATAGAGACAGAAACAGAATTTGTTTCTTTCCACATCTCCCAAATTGTATACCAAGTGAGTGCTCAAGAATTAGTTGCTGAATGAAGAACTTCAATCTCCAATCTTTCTTCATTTTACTCTTCTTCATTGGATAATAAATGAGAGAACATAAGAAATTCTTTATTTTAAAAAAAGAACTAAATAGTTTCTAATTAATATATCATGTAAAGATTAGTCAAAATCATGGCAGGAACAACTTCAATAATTAACCTAGTGAGTGAGAGGGTAACAGCTCCATTTTCATCCTCAGTAAATTATCCAGAGGGGGCGCTGGTGGCTTAGTGGTAAGGAGTTGCACCACTAATCCAAAGGTACTCGGTTTGAATCTACCAGCTATTCCGCATAAGAGAAAGATGGGCAGTCTCCTCCTGTGCAATTTACTGCCTCTGAAAACCTGCTGGGGGGTTAGCTATGGGTCAGTTCCAACTCAACATTACTTAACAACAACAATGAGTCATCGAAGGTGATGTCTTGGAGTATAGAACACTATCTGGCAGTTCTACTCTGTCCTGTAGGATATATGAGAGGGCTCTTAGTTGACAAGTAAGTGTAAACTCTGTATTTCTACAATAATACAGTAACAGCTTAATGTCATTTTCAAAGTATAGCTTGTTATTTCAAAGGACTTGCAATTCATAAACAAGAAGTAGAAAAACTGAAAACTGCCATTGACTTGATTCTGACTTATAGAAAGCCTACAGAACTTAGTATACTTGCCCTATGTTCAGAGGCAAGAATGATAAAGCTTCGCTTCCCATACTTTGGACATATTGCTAGCAGGTGTTACTCCCTGGAGAGAGACGATGTTGGGAAAGGTGGAGGATCAGCGCAAAGAAGAGAAAGACCCTCAACCAGATGAATTGACAAGGTGACTGCTGCAGTGGGCTCTTGTGTGTCAGGAAGTGCGAGGATGGCGCGGGACAGGACTGGGTTCAGATCTTTTGTTCATAGGGTCGCTATGAGTGGTACTCAACTTGAAGGCACCTAACAATAACAGCAACAACAAAAAGCAAGTCCAAGGCTGGAAATCTTTGCAGAAGTGGACAGTTACATCCTTCTTCCATGGAGAGATTAATAGGTTTGGATCACCAGTCTTGTAGCTGAGTAACTGAACCATGGCATCACCAGGCTTCCTCAAATTCATAAGCAGACAGAGCTCTAAGGAAGAATCAAGCTAGAACTACCTAACCGTTCTCATGAGGCACTAATGCTTATGTGTCTTGTCTGAAATGTCAAGACATACTTTGAAATTACGTTAAGCTGTTACTGTATTTTTAAGTATGCACTCTACCATTGACCTACACCCCTCCATTGTTATTTCTGTATTCATTGTATTTCTGTAGAAATAAAATCTGGGATCTACATTTGTTCATCAACTACAAATCTCCCTCATATTTTTTAAGTGTCTTGTTCTAATTTTTTCACATCAACATATAAAACTTCATGGCAATGAGGTTTTCTTTTTATATTTAAGTTGCCTGCCTATTTGCTGCTAAAGAAAATTACTTCAGAAATAACAAAACCATCACCCAACCCAAAACAAACCCATTTCCCTGAAAGACAGAGCACAACTGCCCCAGAGGGTTTACAAGGCTTAAATCTGCACAGAAGCAGCTTGCCACATTTTTCTCCCAAGCAGTGGCTAGCAGATTTGAACCACTGATCTACAGCTAAGCACTAAATGCTTTGACTACTGCTTTGATGTCAGTTTGAGGAGTAAGGTACATCTGATTCAGACCATAGTCTTTCCAATCACTTACTGTGCATCTGAGAGCTGGACAATGAATAAGGATGACAGAAGAATTGATGCCTTTGAGCTGCAGTGCTGGAGAATTGCACTGAACATCCCATGGACAGACAAGAGAACAAACAGATATGTCTTGGAAAGGATACAGCCAGAATGTTCTTTGGAGGCAAGAACAATGAGGCTTCACCTCACATAATTTGGGCATATTACTACGAGGTGCTGTTTCTTGGAGAGGGACATGATGCTGGGAAGGGTGGAGGACTGGCAAAGGAGAGGAAAACCCTCAACCTGGTGGATTGACACAGTGACTGCTGCAATGGGCTCTTGTATGTAGGGAAGTGTGAGGATGGTGCAGGATAGAACAGGGTTTTCTTCATAGAAACACTATGAGTCCTACTCAACTGGATGGCACCTGACAACAACAACTGCTTTGAAACTACTTTTAAGATGGTTTATTAGTTAGATGTTCATAAATACCTGACTATACAAAACTCAGGAAGCTCTGGTAGCTTAGTGGATAGGGATTTGTGCTGTCAACCCAAAGGTGAGCAGTTCAAATCCATCAGATGCTGTGTAGGAGAAAGATAGGTGATCTCCTCCTGTGCAGTTTACAGCCTCTGAAAACCTTCTGGAGGGTCGGCCAGAAGATGGTTCCAATTCAGCAGCAATGAGTGAGTGAAACAAAACTCAGGAAAAAAAAATAGACCATTTAGTATCATTTTAAAATCTAAATCCCAGTTATGTGAAAGATTACAAAGTGGTGAGTGTTTTGAGCAGAGATAATGAATCTTCACAAAGAGACAAACAAAAATTTGAACAGATCCAGTCACCAGATTTCAACATGACCACCAGATTAAATAAATTTGGTCATTTTCTGTCGATTTGAATAGAATTTCCCAATCATCCTTTGCACTGAGATCACAATACCCCATAACACTTGGTCTCCAGATGCCACTTCTGGGATTAACCCTGGGCTAAGGGCAGAACTGCCCAAGCTGTGTCCTGAAGCCCTGGGTAAAACAATTACAGGCTTCCACCAAAAGGCTGGTCCTGGTGCTCTGAGGGAAAAATAAAAAAAATGCACGAGTTAAAGTACTTACTTTTGGAACCTAAGCGATGAATTTCCTCCACTAAAAGGCTAACTTCATGATCCACGTTCATTGCTGCCTGGGGGGAAAAGAAAAGCATTTGTATTACTACCTTTTTTCCTTCCTTCCATTAAGCACATATTGCCAAATCCAAGAGCCTTTTTTTCCCCATATAGCAGTTATTTCCATCAATTTACCATACTCCTTTTTAAAAAATTTCATGTTAGTTACATGGTACTAAACTTCTATCTTTGTAATGCCCTTCTCTGCTGACTCCACCATTCTTGCGTTCTGCCTGTTGGGGAGAACACAGCCACCCTCTGGCTCTGAGTCGTGAAGACCGATGCACAGCAGAACCGAGTGAGCACCACCCTCACAGTCCTTTGTATGTGACTCCACTGCTGCAGGCACCGTGCACTTCGCATGCCTTCCATTCTAGGAAGCTCATCTTCCAATCCTGTATCAAACAGTATTCTGCTGTGATCTGTCTATAGGGTTTCTGCTAGCTAATTTCTGGAAGCAGATTAAGAGTGCGTTGGGGGTTTTTGGGGGGATTTTTCCCCCCATAGTTGGTCCTAGTCTGGAAGTGCTGCTGAAATCTATCCATCATAGATCATGATGCTTGTATTTGAAACACCAGTGGTCAAGCTTCCAGCTTCATAGTAACACACCAACCACCAGAGAATGACACTGACAGACGAGTGGTCGGTTCTCCTTGCATTAACTCTAAGCAAGTCTTCTCTGAGGTGCTCTGCTACATGCCAAAGATACAAAGGTGAGGAGCATAGTCTTTGCTCTGAAGAAAGGTCTGGGATGAACAGCACCCCACAAGGTTTACATGGTGGGTACAAGTCATAATGGGAAAGTAGGAGGGAGACACAGAAAACTCATGGAGGGTGGGTCTCCGAGGGAGGAGGGAAACAGACTGGCAAGTGGAACAGGTATTCTATGCAGCGGGAAGAACATATGCAAAAATGAGAAGAAAAAAAATAATGAGAAAACCAGGCTGGCCTGAGGCAGGCGCTAGGTCAGAAGCAGAGGTTACAGAGATCAGCTGACAGGGCCCCTATCCTCTGGAGCCTGGAGTCTAGGGGTGGGCCACACAGACTTAACTTTAATATCAGGTCAACGCAATGACTTCTGGGTCATACAGAAAGGCATCCTGTCTTTCTCTGGATGGTGCCCAGTGCAAACGGACTGCAATGAAGAGCTTGAGACGACAGTGCTTCAATTCTAGATAAGGAAGAGTCTGGAATGTATCAGGGGCTGAGAAACATGTCCTGTCTAAGTCTTCCAGGGTCTAGGTGCTGCTCATCATTCTAGTCTCTTCCACTCTAACCTGTTGATTTCCGCTTGCTGCTAAATGCCACATGGGGCTTCCTTTTATCCATTAGATTCTCCTCACTCTTCACTGCCAGTTTTCACACACAGCCCAGTATAATAAATATCTCTATTCCTCTGCTATGGCTAACCTCCACACATCCAAATTAGTTCTCTTATCCTCCACAAAGGCTTCCTGGAGCCCCTGGTCTAAGCCAGATCCTCTGCTGGTGTCCACACAACACTGTGGTCCCATCCTCACTTTACTGAAATGGAATTATAGTAAACTCCCTGGGCCACTGGAACCCAGCAGCTCGTCTGCTACCAAGACCAAAGGCTCAATAAATATAGAATTTTGTGAATGGGGAGAAGGAGTCAATGTGTCAGAGTGGAGTAGAAAAGATTCCCCAGAGGAAGAGGGTCCAGAAACAGAGAAAAAGGAAGTAAAGAAGGCTGGCAAATCCCACAGAGAGGGAGAGAAAACACCATGGAGGAAGCAATGAGAGAACAGGTAGAGAAGGAAGACAAGAACTTTAGTCATGTAGGGGCCATGAAGTAAAGGAAGAAGAAACTCTGCATAAGAAGGCAGTAATTTACTAAAACAACAACATGAAGGTCAGTGAGTATAAGCAAATAGGCAGAAAATGTATCTGCTTAGTCTGTTTTCAAATTATAAATTTTCCAAGTGAAGTAAGGGACTAAGAAATTGGGGCTGCATGTATGGTCTACTTCCAAGTAATGTACTGGCAGAAACAATTGTATCCGGACAGATTGTAACTAATTGTCAGTAGCTTTTAAAAACAAGAGTGACATCTATGACTACATGCCAGCTGCTTAGCTGATACTGATTGGGACCTCAGACTACCACTGCCATCTGCTACATTACGTATGAGTACAACATAATTTAAAAAGCTCGCATTGCAATAAAATGTGAAAATCTTAAATGAAATGAAATCCGTGACTTAATATTCAGAACTTTGTGTTAAATCTATGACATTCTATTCCATTCAAAACTTGGCTTAAGTAAAACATTTAAAGCTAAGATATACCCAGAGAATATAGCCAGTAGGTTAAATCTTGGATACTAAGCCATGAGAACAATGGGAGAAAACCTGCTAACTTCAAGTTTTCTGGACAGCTGTTAGTTTTGCTTGCTTATAAGAAATTCCATACCCTGGCACCAACAATTTCAGAATTCAAGGATAGTCTTTCCTTCCTATTCAAAGTCCACATAGCTTGGGTAAAACCTCTCCCTGAGCTCTAGGTTGTTGTCGCCAGGTACCCTCAAGTCAGAACCAACCCACAGCTGACCCTCCAGCAGTTATTAAAAGCAGTTAAATTGCTTTGAATTGCATTGAAGGTGATTGCCCATCTTTGTCCCACAGAACAGCTGGTGGATTCAAACTGTGTGTCTTCAGGTGGACAGTGCAGTTCCTTACTACTAGGCCACCAGAGCTCCCTGGAGCTCTAGGAGTGGTTCATAGCCAGCAGCTGCTTTGGGGAAAAAGGTCAGTCCCATAGAGGACAATAAGAGTCAACTCAAATTAAACTCACTGTCATCAAATCAATTCTACTCACAGGGACCCTCCATCAGATTACCAAGGTTATAGACTTGATGACACACAACAATGAATACCTTTATGGAAACAGCATATGGCCAGCTGGTGGATTCAAACTGCCAACCTTTTGGTCAGCAACCCAATACAATTATTCACTACAATAATGAATGGAATGTTGAAAGAAATGTCTGAAGGGATCAAGGTCCCTGCCAATTCTCAGAGTCCTTGGATGGTGTAAACAGTGTGTTAAGATGCAAATTGTGAGGGTGGGGATTTGAGTCCTCCCACAGGTACCAAAGGAGGAGGGATGGCTAGCTATCAGAAAAGTAACCACTGAGGAGCCAATGGAATACAGTTCATTCTGTTGCCTGAGATGGAACTGACTCAATGGCAACTTAGCCCATTTTCAGATTCTCTGATTTTCTCAAACATTGACAACTTACATGCTTTAACACTGTTTTACCTTCCTCCCACTCAGGACTACTTCAGACTTAGCTGGAAATTAGTGTAACAAGAATCAAAGACGGAATCCCAGTATTATGTAGAAAATGTAAATATGTGGGTTGTTTTTAAATAAATGTTTTATTCTTATTAATTTAAATGAAAATTTACAGAGATTTTGGATTTCCATTCCTTCATTGCTGCACTTTTCTTCCTGTCCACCCCTCCCCCCCAGTTAGTTCTTCTCTGAAAAGTAAAAGAAAAATTATTTCACTGTTCTACAATCCCTCCCCCCAAGTCCACTCTACTATGCAGCCTCCATTCTGGACTCCTGTCATGACAATAATACCCAATCACATATCCCTTTATATGTGGGTTATTTTAAACAGATGTATGGTTATCCAATTTTAAGGAGAAGGCAGCTAGCATTTCACTTATTTCACCTCAGACTCATTTCTACGTTAACTCTTTTATTCCTAATACCTTGCAAAGTGTTTTTTCTCTATACTCCTGAATGAAGCTTAGTGAAGGGGTTAACTCTTCACAATTAAGTCATGTTCTACCACATCATTCTGCTTTTTCTCATATTTTAATGTTTGGCTGGTCCTTTGCAAGCTGCTCTGAATATAAGAATGGGCTGTAGTCTATGAAATACACACTGAGCGCTCATTAAGATAGAACACTGACAAAGAAAAGATTCCCCCTGTCCAGATCCCTGTAAGTAGGAAAGTGACAGTCGGGTTTAGAAACAATTGCTAACCTCTACCATTTGGCTTAGTGAGTTATTTAAGGGGGAAAGGGACAAAGGAGTGGGTACAGAGGGAGGGGCTGTGGGTAGATACCAACTGTTATCTCCTTCTTACAAGGCCCAGGACATTTTATAAGGACAAAGGACAGAAACCCCAGGACTAGAGCGAGCAAAAAGATCAGGAACAATGAATGAGAGGCCCAGAGGGAGATTCTATGTATGCAGGAGCCTGTCAGTAAAAGACGTCTCAACCAGAAGAAATACAGTGCCAGAGGGAAGGGGGTTTAAGAGAACAGAGGAACAGATGACAGCCGGCTGCCTAATTAGGCACTGTGTGTGAGAGTCACAAAGAAGGACTGGGGCATATGCGGAATGTTACACCATCGATTTACACTAAGAGTATAATTAAAAAGCATCCTCTTAGAGAACAAAGTCTGAGTGTATGTGTGTGTATGTATGAGACACTTTGTGTGTATGTCTGTAAGACAGAATGAGGGTGTGTGCTTTCCACCATCTGTGCACTTAAAGAAGCTGTATGATTTCTCTGTGTGTGTGTGTGTGTGTGTGTGTGTTCGTTCCACCATCTGTGTGCCTTTAGAGACTGTATATGGAGCTTGTTTTTCTAGTGTCCTTAGAAATAACCCTTTCCGGAATGGGGATCTGTGGCCTCGGGAACCAACTTCGCCCACTGTGTCCCAGCCCTCCTTTACAATCACTGACTAGCAGCTGGTCACAGGATGACTGGGTTCCTTCCTGCCTCTTGGCTGGCTCGCACACACTCCATATTTGGTCATCCTTGCTCCAAGTTTGCGGTACCGTCCGGAAGAGGTTCCAAGGGTCCTTCAATGGCAGCCCACCCCATGATCACCATTCCGCGGGTGCAGGGCTGGGGAGCGCGGGGCACAGGCTGATCCAGGCGTGCTAGGCGGGCTGGGGGCGGCCTCCCCGCGAAGGGCCACGTCCCGGAAGCCTTTGTCTCCGCAACTCGCGCCCGTGCGCCCCGGC